TGCCGGAATCGGTGCTTCGTGGACACGCGGTGCCTGGCGGTGTCCATCACTCAGGCGGCCTCCGTGTCCAAGTGTTACTTCAGCAGCAGCGCCTCGGTGCTCACCAACTTACTCGTCACAGACTCGGCCTTCATCACCTTCACGAAGAAAATAGGTATTGTTTAATTGTCTATCCTACAATTTTTGTTTCGGTATTCTTCATGAAGAAAAGAGGTATTTTTTTACTACTGTATGTTATAAAATTTTTGTTTCGATATTCTTTAAGGAGAGTTGTGATAGTATTTGGGAATTGTTATAGTATTTGGGGAGGATAAAACATGCCAAATTTCAATATGCCCTCATACATAATGTTACTGCAGAGAAATGCAGAAAATAACCTATTTTTTCTGAATCTATCAGAAAATAGAAAAAATACCCCTAGTAATCCTGTCTGTCATTAAGTTGCGAAACTATAACAGGTTTTGCGTGAAGAATTATTGTGTAGTCAAACCACAGTCACCAAATATTCTGCCTATAAACGATGAGCCCCTAAATAGTCTACAATTAGGGCATTCGAAAGGCTTACTGTTTCAAATTTTATTCAGAAGCCAAATTAAGCCCAAGCATTGGAAACTTTGGATATTTTTTATAAAAATGTGGATAATTTTTTGCTAACAATTTCTTTATCTCCCACCAGATGCGTGCAAGCCAGGCTTTGAAGCTGTGGGCGGATTCTGCTACTTTTTCTCTACCAACGCAGTCAACTTTGCTACGGCTAAAAGCTCGTGCCCATTGGGCAGCGTGCTCGCCTATCCATCCTCTGCTGCCCAGATGGCTGATCTCGTGGCTTACCTCAACAGCAGTGAGTCTAAAACCGGCGATTCAATTGTTCTTTCTAGGTTCAAAGTTAACGGGAAGTCGAGGATTTAAATTGAAACTTTTACTCCGCTCAGTCGGTTCCTTGAACAGCTTGTTTGGTTTCAGGCATTTTGTCTCAGGTGTTAAAAATTTGCAGTGGCAATCATACACCAGTTGCCACATTACATCAAGGTCATACACCGATTGACACATTACTTCAAGTCAAAAATTTTCTTTGTTGTCTTTGTGGCTTTTGTGAAATAATTTAAGATCTGTCTGAGTTGAGAAGTTAATCAATTAGGTAATTCGACGCTCATCGAAACTTTCGTACGAATTTTCAATAATTTTTTCAGAAACAACAAATGAAAAATATGCAAAATTTAATTATGAATTTCAAGGACAGAATTTTGAAAACACTAGAAATTTTATTCGGTTCAGATCTAACGTGTTGAAATAGAACAAAAAGGTTAGCATGAGAACTATTTTATTCCCTACCTACAAACAAAAGTTGAGCTGCAAATAAATGGAGGTACAAATAGAATCGAATGAACTCTTTTAGGTTCATCCCGCAAGCAATAAAAAACTTCAAATAATGCAATAATTAACGAGATTATTATTATTCAATTACTCAGTTCTTTGCGTGCGTGCATCACCTAATATATTTCGTTAGCCAATTATTTTTACACAGTCATTCGTCCTGCTCATGAAGTCAGTCTCAGCTCTCAGCTTGAGAGCTGGATACAAATAGGTCGGGATCGCAGCAATTTGTTTTCTTTAAGGGTCATGGATCGATGACTGCTCTGATGATAGTGCATGGGTGTGTCATGGTGCAAAGTCAACACGGGCTGTACTTTTTGTGGCCTCTTATTTGAATGCTAATGATATCATTCATTGACTGGAGTCATTGTTTTCTACCAAAGTCATCGCTTCAGAGGGCCAAAGTCATATAATAATCTTCCTCGTTCCCGCTGAAGAATCTTACTTGAATTACAGAAAGAAAAAGCGAACACAGATTTTCAGAAAACAATTTTTGTGCTCCTAGATTTGAATGGCCGCGGATGGTTCTATAGGCTTGACGGATGCATTATCTTACGAATGGATTATTTGAAGCTCGTGTGGAGCTTTGATTTTTTTTCACACGGCCCTGACATTCGTCAATGTGACTGCTATGTATAGCCCGATGAATGCATTCTTCAGAAGCTTGCATAATTGATTTGAATCGAAATTAACGAAATCAACTCCGGTTTTCTATCCCAAATTCTATAAAATTGTATGTTCTATGAATGCACAATTCCATTAATCACATGAATATGAGTTATTGGGTGCGTTTTTCTTCATTTACAGACAAGTCTGGAATACACGACTGGTGGGTCGATTTGACTCTGAATGCGGGCCAGTGGTTATGGAAGGACGGAAAAGTAACCACTGGAGGAGAATTGGGAAACAATATCCAACAAACCTGCGCCAGACTCGATGCTAACTACGAGCCAAATGACCAATCGTGCTCGAACTCTTTCCGTTTCGTTTGCCAGTACAAGGTGTGAGCTTGAGTTCTTCAGTGTACTCATTGTACTGATGAAACCAATTGTTCGTCATTCCGCTCGCATATATATTACGACAGGTAAAATTATCCCTCTCTATGAATTTCGAATGCAACAGTCACTTAAAAATAATTGTGAACGTAATAAATTAACCCTGTTACCTGCAATTTTTTTTTAATTCAGGGAATGTCGAGAACTAATGTGCACTATACATGAATGATATTCTAATCAAAAATCTATTTTTTTTTGACGATGGAATATTCGAAATGACAGTAAAAACACATTCCGCCTACAAACACGATGCCTCGGTTATTGAACGAGTTCAAAGCAAAAATCAGAACCATGTCAGAAATTCAGTTTAAATGTTCGAACTGTGCAAATAAAAAATGTATTGACTACTGTCAAAAATTCAGCTTAAATATTCAAAAAACCCAAATCAACATCAATTCCTCTTTTTATGTTCGAACTACCTAAATTGCCAGAAATGTGCGAATAGACTAAAGACAAGTAATATATTGTTCGAAGGTAACAATTCGGTTTTAGTTTTTTAACTGAACTTATTATCAGTAGACAATTGTCAAAAATCGAGAATCCTGTTCAAAGTGTTCAAACTTTACACATTACCAGTTGGGTATTATTTGAAGTCAGTTATCCTGCACCTTTGTTCAACTGAATAAATTACACTGAGTGCATTCTTAAAAGTTGGCCATTCTGTACCAATTTTTAAACTGAAAAAAACTTACCAATATTGCATTGCTTTAAGCTAAATATTTTTTTTTCACGTTCGAACTGCACAAATGAGCGGCCGTGCATGTTCAAACTGCTGAAATGAACTGCAATGTATTGTTACGCAATGCCCAAATTACAGGTAGTGCATTGCTGCATAAGACTGCATAAGTGGAAACTGCATAAGTTTCCTGCACTGCTCCAATAAGTTTCCAATCGGAGTCAACACGTTGACTCCGATTGATTCATCTTGTGCTATTATNGCGGCACGACCAGCATAACGTGATTAAAAGGTCCGCACACGTGTAACACTGCTAAAAGACTCCCGGATCAACCCGCCACTGACTGACAACACATCGTCACAGCGAGAAATCCGCTAAATTAAACATGAGAAAATATGAAAAAACCTAATTCATTAATGAGGAAATATTCTAATTACCGCAATTCTAATATAATACAAGGCTAGCGTGAGACAGGCGACCTCACAATAATACAATATACAAATGTTAAAAATTACATTCTACAACAACTCTAATGTGCAGGGAGCTACAAATAGCCAACTCGAGTTGCATGATTGCATAATAAACAAACTCGTTCACTCCATGAACTAATGAATATCGGTTAATATAATATGATGAATGCTTTAATTTCTGACTAAGCCAGTTTCGGGTATACATTAAACATTTATGATTTGAACATAATAAAGACGAATGGAAGTGCAGCACGAACATCTGCAGCTACTGTCAATTTTTAATTTCAAACAGCGCTTTAAATTTGCAAACTACGATCTAGATTTTTTATGAGAGAAATTAATCTTATTCTTTTTTTCTATTCGCATGCACACTAATTGTAGTAACGTTGCAATTACTGTTTTCAAATCCACCCTCTTTAGAGCTAAATGAACAGCTATAAACTTTTAAGCGCGGTCGGCTATTAATTTAGTACAAAGTAATTGTGATGTTTTTTGTTTGTATATTGGAATTCGTGATTGGCTTGAAATTTGTTCACAAACCAGCATTAAATTTACTCCATGTAGGCAATTAAATCTCAGATTTATTGTAGTAAAATGTTACCTGAAGCCAAAAGCTATCCGACGCTCTCAACTGCCAGTTGCACTAACTTTAGGGTAGCTTCGCTTCAAAATAATCATATATACGAAGAAATATTATCCGAAGTAATAACAAAATATTTATAATTAGAGTAATTTGATGCCTCCGAAGAATAAAAAACACTTTTGATTATTTCGCAAAGTTAAATTATTACTAATTCTTGCAATTAAAGTAGGCTTCTTTTCTCCTCGCTGTGAGAATGTTCGAACACACGTGTAACCCACAAATCGTGCGGCATTGTAAAATTCACGAAATTTCCTGGCAGCAACATCAAAATTAACGACAATTAGTTTACACAAATTGGTTCTAATTCGTGAATTGCAAAACTGTGAAACTGGCCAACTAAATCTTTTTAATAGCATGAAGTAATTTTAAGATATTGATAAAATTACTCATGAGCTTCATCGTAATTTTCACGACTATTTTTCCCATGAAAATTTCGCCACGATTATCAATCGATGTCAATTCAATTTCAGTGCAAATAAAATTTCCCAATCGTTCCGAATATCGAGACTAAGGTCAACTTGTTTAATTTGTACGGCTTATTACGATGAGTCAGATTCCACATCACGCGCGATGCTCTCGTAAGCGACAAATTCATTAATTGTGTCTGGCATCAACCAGAAGAACTGGCATCTACCGTGTGAGCTTTTATTGATGTTTTTGCCGTCTTCTACCTTTTTCTTGCTGGCTGGTATATTCCGTTTTCTCAATATGACTTTCAAATCCGCTTGTACAATTTTGTAGAGATTTCTAGATTTATATTCCATTCATAAAAATGTACCTTTATGTCATGATGTTATTTCATCTCCATTTACTAACATCTCGTTTATGTTACTGGGAGCCCGTGTTATACATGTACAATAGATCTCGTGCTAATAATCATAGTTAAAAGGACTGTAGTCAAGCTCGTCCACTACATAAGGGTACGGATTGTAGTGCATTGCGTGTCAATCAAATTGTGCGTTGCCTTTCAATCAAGAGTTTTTATTCCCGTGGAATGATAACTCGCGGCAGGATGTTATCGTTCTCAACAGCCTCTTGCTCATCCGTCCCACTCTGCTGTGCGCGTTCACCTTCACGCGGGAGCGCAGCCGTGCACCACCAATTTTGTGCACCAACAAGCCCTGAATCGAACGCCTTGGATCTCTCCGAACATCCACCAATCAGCCGTGAACCACTCGGCTTTGTCCACCTCCGGCCTGTGTTGCATGGAGAGCGCCTTCTTGATCCATGTAATTTATGAACACTTTTAAACAATGACTTAACCTTAATAACGCTAACAGTTTTTATTCACTCTAAATTATTGTTAATCCATTGTTTTATATGCTCCTTGATCGTTTTTACAGTCCTTAGGTTAAAATCTATTTCGTGTACATTTCACTTTTCTCTATTGATTTTTTTTTTTTGTATTATATGAATTTTTGAACTGATGATGGAGCTGGTCTCATAAAACGTTTTTACTTGAGATTTCACGAATTTAAGTAGCGTCAAATCCAAATTATTGGCAATCATGAAATATTTGTTCAAGGCTAAAAAGTTCAACTTCTTTAAAAAACTAATGTCAAAAATGGCCACTGGTCAATAGTGTTCCGTCTACCACGCCAGGGTGTCAGTATAAAAAGGCTTCAACGGGAGAAGTCGTATATAGTGCATTATTTATACATGGCCATAGGGTATTATGTGTCACGATCTTCCCGTGAGAAACGTGTCAACGAACAGCAGATAAGTTTAAAAATAATCAGCCCTTCGTTAGAAGCAAATACCCGGCACTGAAGGCCGGTATCATCAACTAGATTTCGCAAGTAGCTCATAGTGACATGACTGTAAGAAATATAACCTGAATCCAAAAGTGCTAAATGATAATTTGGGCCATTGAATTTATAATAAATTCATTTTGTGTGTCTGGTAACTCACTCCAATACAGTCTTTCATAAGGAACCTTATAAATGGCGGTATATAATATACCTAAATGATGATTTAAAAATTGTGAAAAATACTGTCCTAATTTCTGCATTTAAATCACTAGAAAGGAATTCTTTCTGATGAGTACAGTTTCTGCTCTTTTCATACAATATAATTTTCTGTACAAAATCGCCGTTAAAAGTTTCATATGGGTTGATTCTAAGTCCTTTAACTGCAGCATTGATGACGTCCGCATGACGTCGCCCGCCTCAAGTTTCTGCTGGCCCCTCGTTCAGTGAAAAAAAAACATGGCGGAATTCACGCAATTTGAATTACTTCATACACACGGTTGATAGAATAAATTATTTCGTATAAACAGTTTTTTATATTTTCCGCCATAAAGTTTTCTTTAGCTGTCATTGAACTGTTCAAGTTAGTTATGTACCGCTCATCCAGCTCAACCATCACCTGATATGTAAGCGTCAACATGTTCATCAAACTAAGGTTGTCAATCTGAGCGTTCATTATAATTATGACTTCCAATATCTGTTACCTACAAATACAGCACATGCTTATCACCTGTCGTTACTTAGGGAATTATGACATAAAATGTTTAAATGCTGCACGATTTCGATCGAGCACGTTATCGAAATTTTTCATGGATCCAAATTTTATGTGTAGAGGTGGCAGGATAACCGTGATTTTCTCAGCAAGTATTTCATGAATATTATTCTTGACAACAGGTTCTAAAGATTGTTGCTTATGCCACTCTCATTTGATGTAATATTTATTATCCGCCCTCGCTTGACTATCCTGCTCACATAGAAGGCAACAGTAGTCAGTGTCTTCGAGCAGTACTTAATTAGGCAGACCTGACGAGGGCAATGCAATCATAACAATTGGTATCTTGATCGTCGCTCCACACCAAATTATGAGCACCGCAAATGCCATGTTTCGTTTTCCTGTCATGTGTACGGTCAGAAAGCCCTGCATTCCAATAAGTAATACAAATATTAGGAGCCATAGGTTTTTCTTTATCTCCCACAATCAAAGTGAAAATGATGGGCTTTTTCATCGCTGGTGTGATAGTACGTTTACATGAAACCAATATCACTTTGCCGCAGAAATGAAAGAATGAATCCGATATATCAACACACTTCCTTGACAAGTTAGATTGAAATTAATGAAATAAGGCCACTATATATAGCGTAATTATGCATAATCTCATGCTTGCAAGCTGTGAACGTTGTAATGTGCGCATTTCACAAGCAGCAAACGTTGTGAAAAAACAAAAACGAGCAAATTTATTGGGTCGTAAGCGTTGTAAAAAAACTTAAATTTATAGAGTTTGCAAGCTGTAACCATTCTATCAAAGAGTATACCTGTAATTTCTAGACGAAAACTTTGTTACAAAACAAGACCTTAATATCCTGCGGGCATCGCTCAGCAAGACAGACAATGCACCGATTTCATTTTCGGTAACGAGCAGCCTTTCCGTTATCCACTTTATTTACAGATGAGAAAATTGTTAATCCAAGTTTACAATGATTAGAAAAGAGTGCCTCTCTGCCTTATAAAGAGCACCATCATGGCAGGATGCATTTTTTTACCAACGTATAATTATTTCATCGATATAACTCTATGGCCATGATTTATGTCGTTTGAATTCCTGTTTAAATCATTGACGATATTCGTCACTGATGCTCTGGATCGCCTGCGTGTGTATTACCATGTCTACCTACAATAAAATTTGTCCTAAGCTCAAGTCATTATCCTCCCGAATAATTTTGAATTAGTAAACTAACTTTAATGTTTGGTTATTTCATATTTGAATTATATACAATAAAATTAAATAGTTCTGACAAAATTTTATTGTTACGATTGACAAAAGCCAATTTGTGGCCTTAATGTCGGTCATGCTTAAAACAATTTCCTTCCATGCAAGCTCACAAGAACGAGCTCTCGTATTCTAATTATCAACGCATTGTATTTCGTTTCGTTGAATTTGCAAACAAATGCACTGTGCTATGTCGACGAGTTTAGGGGCTACATCAAATATTAGATCTATTATTTTTCTTTCGCCAATAACTTGAGCTAAATTGCGTTGCTCGTTATAAATTCGTATTGAACCGTGTATTGAACCGTGAATCAACACAGAGAACTAGAATAAAATAATTGGTGTTTGCCAACGTTTTATGGGCGTGACCCGTATCGAGAACAAATTAAAATGGCACGCCGCAAGGTTGGAAACATTTCAGTTCATCAGTTGCATTGCTGAGCATAAGCGCGTACTGTGGGTCTCCATGGAAGGGGCCTAGGAAACTTAACACGCTCTAAAAGTTTGGACTGGTAAATATGCCGAACTTAGATTAACATTTCGTAGAAAATTGTTTCAATAGAGTTGGATTGATAATACAGTGAAATTCTTGGCGCAGTGTGATTGCTATCAGCACAAATCTTACTTCGATCGATCTTACTTGATAAGAGCGTCGTATTGCTATCTCAATTCCAGCGTTTCAAAGGTCACATTTCTATAATGCACATTGCAATCACGCACCTGTTTGATCAACCCGAATTATTGGATATTTCGCGCCAGCGTGCAGATTTGGAACCTCATCTTCATTTTAGAACCCAGAAAAAATCTCATTTCTCCGAATTTACATCCAATTATAGCCTTCAAAATAACATTTCATGTGTAATTTCAAAATTGCATTCCTTTCTCTAAGCACGCATAGTTTCCAGATTATTGACAAAGGTTACGTCAAATGACGGGTACCGGTTAACGATGATGCTGTAAATATACTGTAACTGAGGAGTAATGGCCAAAATCGGTGTTTGTTCCCTTAACCATAATTTAGCACGAATTTTGATAGCTTCATTTGCCGATGAGCAATATGGTTTAAAACCTTCCACTCACATATGCTAAAACCATCAATGCAATATTATTGTGTAATGCAATAAAATGGTTCTGGCGGGTCAGCGAGCCAGTGATGGTCGTAGAACTACCAGTGGTACCGAGTGCTCGGAAAAACTGACCTATCACCCCCCCTCCCTATAGTCGCCACTACCAGGATGGGCAATTACAACAACAAAAACAAAACCATCAAAACATGAATTTTTTGTTGTAGAGGCTCATTTTTTATAACTTTTAAATCGAACGAATTTTCTTGAGTTTGATTCTAATTTTTTATGCCCGGGGCATAATGTGTGAAAGATCTTGCGAAAAAAATGTATGATGCATGAAATGTGGCTTGGCATCGATTGTGATTGACGTCACTGCAGATTTGAGATAACTATTTCGAATCAACTTTCTTGCAATCATATAAATTGCACAACTAAATTTGTTGTTGAATTATATGAAATCCATACAAAAATTTTTTTAAAAATTCCCATTTAAATATAATAATTTAAACCCTAATATAATTAAAATTTTAGATTGTATAGCCCAACCAGACAGGCCCCATGTCAAATCGGCTCCATATATATATATATACGGTAACGTGTTTTAAACTTATAAACTCTTATAAATATTATGAATAGGTTATTCGAAAACATTTGGCATTCATAACTTCAACGGTCGCGTGAAGGCCCAAGCTGCACGCTCACATTCAGAAACGCAATTAAACATTTTGTCGATGTGATGGCGTGTCAATTTTTATTTGTTGAGTCGATTACCTGTCGATCACCTGTTGATTACCTGTCGATTACCTGTCGATTACCTGTCGCTTATTTGTCGATTACCTGTTGATTACCTTTCGATTACCTGTCGATTACCTGTCGATTACCTGTCGATTACCTGCCAATTACCTGTCGATTACTTACCTGTCGATTACCTGTCGATTACCTGTCGCTTATTTGTCGATTACCTGTTGATTACCTTTCGATTACCTGTCAATTACCTGTCGATTACCTGTCGATTACCTGCCAATTACCTGTCGATTACTTCTCGATTACCTGTCGATTACCTGTCGTTTATTTCTCGATTACCTGTCGATTACCTGTCGATTACCTGTCGATTACTTCTCGATTACCTGTCGATTACTTCTCGATTACATGTCGATTACCTGTTAATTACCTGTCGATTACTTCTCGATTACCTGTCGATTACCTGTTAATTACCTGTCGATTACTTCTCGATTACCTGTCGATTACCTGTCGATTACCTGTTAATTACCTGTCGATTACTTCTCGATTACCTTTCGATTACCCGTCGCTTTTATCAGCACGAGGGCAAGTTATTATAGTTTTCAAGACTCTGTGCTGATCGCGATCCAAATCTTTACAATATTCAAAATAATTTAAAAGTACTATTATATTTTGAAAAATTTAAAAGTCAAGATCTTGTGAGGAGTATCGTTTTACCGAACTAATCAGTTACTGAATGCAATTTGACATAGAAAAACATCAGAACTCTAATAATCAGCAAAAAAATGTTCAATTCCTGCAAATTCAATCAACTTTATTTCAATTAGGCAGAGAAGACTTATCAAACGTCATGGAAAAATGTGTTTCAACAGAAGTTTCTTTTCCTTCAAAAGAAACTGGATCATATAATTTTAATTTACATGTTGCGTAAAAATAATTTCATACCTTATTCATAACATACTGACTTCCGCAATCTTAATAAGAAAACTATTTAGCCTTGACAACAATAGTTTGAGCATTCACGACATGAATTCTTTTTGATCGAGCTTGAGTGAATGACTTTTCACAGTTAAATGTGTTTATTTGATCGATTTCTCTGTTAGCAAATATAGCACACCGAGAACATATTATCTGAAATTTAAAGCTATTTTGCTACCCAGTCACTCAGGTCATGTTTTATTCATGTTCAAAACACTGCGGGGGACCTCGGATATCGCTAAATATTCATGCTCGAGCGATGGCAATGTTCCATTCGTTTTAAATTGCAGCATCAATATCATACTTTTCAAACAACGCAGTGCGCTGTTGGGTGCAGATTAGCGTGGTTCAGTGCAATGATTTACAATAATCCGAATATTTAGAAAAGCGACACTCTCAGCAGCTTAGTTTTTCGATATTTTCCTAATTAAGTCCTTGCTGGTCAGTGCAGAAGAATAATATATTGCCCTTTCAGATCAATCATGGCCTGTTTTTACTGAATTTATTCACGGAATGACTTTCGGAAAGTTTAATTTAGCGATTACGCAATGCTGTCTATCGTAAGAATAATCAGCCAGTTTCGAACTAATTTCGTTACTTGGAGCTGTTTATGCAACAATAAACATGTGTAGCCAGCTCTTTCATGTCGCATATACTCCCCACAAAAACGCTGCTGTCAACCATCTTCATGTTCTAATTTTGCCCGTTGACAAATTAAATTATTGTCGAAAATTAGTGACTCGTTCGAAATCATGAATGATTGCGAAAATAATTTCAATGAAAATACTTCCAATTTAGGTCACACTCCCGAAGTTACCTAGTATCGCATTTTCAGTTCACTAAAAATTAATGTTATTGATTGCTCCATATATCAAAGAAATTACCCTTCAAGTATGTAAATTGGCTTTATTAAGTTATACGTTTTGAGCAAAAATATTATATGCATTCGTCGACTTTTTTCAAGCTCGGATACATTTTTTCCGTACGATCGAGGGAAATCTTCCTTAATGAAAATGATGGCTGAAAACGTCGAAAATTACATGCTATTTTCTTTTTGGAAAATTACTTTCTATTTTCCTTTTTTCACGAACTTCTCTTAAAAATGGATGTTTAAAGTACATTTCTCAATAAAGTATTTAATAAAGATGTTGCTAACCTGAATCCTTAGAAAAATAATTGCACTTCTCGCGTAATTGAAAATTATTTATTCCCCACTTGTAACATGCATGGATGACAATTTTTAAACTGAAGCTGTTGAGCCTATAGTTAAATATAAAACAATCATGTGATTTTCGTAATTTGATTATTTTTCGTTGCAAACTTTCACTTATTGATTTACCTTTTTTGCGCTACATTAACTCATCTTCTGGTATTATTTATTGATTGTTTATAGAAAACCGAGGCTGAAATCGAAAAACGCACGCTATAAGTAAAAAAGAAATGCTCAGATAAATTTGCGTAATTAGATGTACTCATATATGCGTCAACCCATTCCTAGTTTTACATTTCCATTTTTACTACATCATTCAGGTATAACAGTTTAGAAACTAGAGTTCCAGTCAACAGATAAATGGTTAAAAATTCCTACCTCTTCAAGCCTTCAATGGGCAAGTGAATAAGATTAAGCGACAGGAATGGGCGGATTTTTTAGCATTTTACTGTTCAAAAAATCCCATGATAAAGCGATTGAAAGCGTTGGTTTTTCCAGACCACGCGGCATGTTTTTCTCCGTGGTACTCTGCTTGGCCAGTTTAGCGAGCGCAGTTCAGGGGAGCGCAATGACGCTCTTCACCGACGCAAAGATCGCGCAGGCTTGGACCACGTCTTACTTGGAGGCACCGAGCACATGTGAGTCACCTAAACGAACAATATTTTTTTTTTCAATTTGTTCATAAACAGATAGTAAAATTAATCTCTGAAATTGAAAACCGTCTTTCCCTAGAATTTTCCTTCTTCTAAAAAATTCATAATTCTTTTTTTCATACAAATGAAATGTCTGACTGTTGGTGGCTCTTCTGACAAACATTGATCAATTATTTATTCTTGTTTATGATTAGAGACCATATAACTGAAGTATATCGGAAAATTAAAGAAACTTTTTTTATAAAATTTTTGTCGTGACACTTGCAACATCGCTACCCACGACTAAAAGCTAAAAAATATAACATGGCTAAATTTTCGGAACACCCCTGATGGTCCGACTGAAAATTGAAATTTACTTGCAACTTCTTGTTAAGCCGACAGACTCTATGAAAAAAAACATTGGTTTTCTACTTTTCCAAGTCCAAATGCTTAATGAATGCTGCTGAAAATAAATGAAAACACCTAACTTAACTGACAGCCTCAAAATTGCGAAAAATTAAGTGAATTTCCATTCACAGCCTTGAATCGCATGATAAAACAACTGTGTATAAGTTCTATTGTCGAGGTTACCAAGCCAGTTTACAACCACACAGAAAATAAACACCAAAATACAAATAAACGAATAATACAAATCTTGAATAATATCATCAGTAAAGATCGCAAAATGTGGGAAAATTAATAAAAAAACTTTCGATCCGTAAGCTAGATATTGTGTTTCACTACAAGCGTATAGTAAAAATATCGTCAAATGCATACACCAGAGAACTGGTTTTCACGGAAATGTCTTATTAACTCAAAGCTGCCTTTCACAGATCACATCAAAATCATTAATTCGTTTTAACCAATACTTTGTTTAATTTATAACATTACAGTCACCAGGAAATTTGTACTTACTGACCCAGGCGTGTGCCGGAATCGGTGTTTCGTGGATACGCGGTGCCTGGCGGTGTCCATCACACAGGCGGCCTCCGTGTCCAAGTGTTACTTCAGCAGTAGCGCCTCGGTGCTCACCACCTTACTCATCACAGACCCAGCCTTCATCACCTTCATCAGGAACAAAGGTGTTCAAGATTTTGCCAATTTTAACTTCATATCACTTCTCAGCAGAACGCACTTGAAAATTTATAATATTTAGCGAGTTTCAATATACTGAAGATTAAATTCATCTTAATTCTGAGTTCACTTTGACGAGAACTTTACTCATTACTTCACGATACCTCGAAAATAGGTAAAAAAAATTTGAGTTAACAAAACTCATTCAAGTTTCTCACTAAGCTTTTTCTCACTAAGCAAAGCTTTTTCTCACTAAGTTTCATTTCTTGTGAGATTTTTATTTCCTGAAATTACGCTATAGATTGCAAAACACGCTCTGCGTCATATTTCGAGGGTGGTTTATTCCTTACATTGTAAGCTTTTGTAGGGGAGTATATACAATGCCTGATTACATTCAATTTTCGAGTAAATACAGCATAAATTGTCAACATTGGATATATTTCGCCGACGATACGTTTTCATAGCAGAAATAATTTAATTTTGATCGCCAATCGCAGTGTACAAGACAGGCTTCGAAGAGGTGGGCGGCTTCTGCTACTTCTTCTCTACCGCGACTGCCAACTTCAATACGTCGAAAAGCTCGTGCCCGACGGGCAGCGTGCTCGCCTTCCCGTCCTCTGCTACTCAGATGAACGATCTTGTGGACTACATCAAGAAAAGTAAGTAAATTGCCAGAAACTTTCAGTCATTATAGTATCATTTATGTTGGAATATTTGAATAATTTTTCTGTTTGCCCTCACAAGGGGTAACATTTGGGCTTTTGAGTAGAACTTGATCAACAATAATAAAGAGTTTTGTTAGGTTGTAGTGTGATCATGTGATGAGTTATCGACCTATTTCATGCATCACTGAATAAGGAGCACAACTGGCTTGATTGTTGATGATATTTGGATTTAGCTCCTTATTTCTCCAACTCACCAGTGCTTCTCCATCTTCATAGTAAGAAAGTCTTAAAATTTTTGTCCGTCAAACTTTTACTTGTAAACACTAATTTGCGAAGAGCTAATAAAAGTTGATTGTGTAATAATATTTTGGATTCTGTTTCATGTATTTTCGTTGTATTGAGGCTGTTACATGTGTTATTTACAGAATAATGATATTTAAAACTTTACTACCACTTTCGCCAAGAATTGGGTAACTTTGTGCAAGACATTCAAACCAATAAGATAATATTACCAAAATTTCACATAAGAAAACAAAAGAGGTTCAATTATTCTTCAAGAAGAAGATGATGTTGAAAAAATATCAAAGCCTGATAGACAACGCACAACCTTCTTTGACCTGAACGATATACTACAAGAAGAAGAGGAGTGTACCTGTGCAATGTGCACAGGCCTAATTATTAAAACATTCGAGTTGAGTAGAAACCTGAAGACTTGGCTCATGATAACTTTTGGGTTATCAGATAAAATGAATAGATATCCCCTTACAAAATCATAGGCTTATCTGAAGAAGTATCTGCAGTTGAAAGCATGGAAAAGAGACTCAAGCTTTCGCGCTGGCCAGAAAAAGGAGATCATCTGACTTACGACTGGGCAGATGTTTGTCAGAAGATAGATCCTAAAATAATGGTTTCAAAGAGGAACCAATTCTATGTACCAGACCTAGTGAACCATGTGTGACGTAATTTCAAAGGTGAAATACTAGGAAATTATCATATTTAGTGGAGATTAATTTGACTTGTCTATAATTTGAGAACTAAGAAAATAATTCTGAGGTCTCGATTTGGAGATTAAAAGTTTGTTTGCACATTAAAATAGCTTGAAAATCCATTAATTCAATGTCATGAGTTATTGAACAGGTAAAACTATTAAAATAGCGTTAAAATTGGGCGACTGCTCCCCCTTCCGACAGTCCTAAATAATTCGTTCAAACTAAATTTGGAAGGGAATACAAAAGTAAAATTTTACCGTGAACCTATTCGTATTTTCTTAAATTTATCTATAACTATTAATTGCCATCGCTTGTACAGTTTATCCATTTGTAGACAACAGTTTGATACATTTTTCGAATGTAGTCGGTTCAGAGAGAGCAGTGATCGAAATATATTCATATATAAGTTCGTTACATTAGCTGTTTTTCTCCATTCTCTGAACAAGTTTTTAGGAAATTTAGGCATCATATAATATTAAAAATCCTTAATGCACAGGCATATACGAAGATACACATGTAACACATTTTTAAAATCCAATAATTAAGTTCTCTAAGAAGCAACGTTCAGAAAAAGAAGACACCACACAAAGAAACTATTGTTGCGTACCGTGAACAGCTTTAACTCGTAGCCAAAATATACTTTGGCTATAACTGTATGAGATCATGCCGTAATATGCATCAAAACTTAGATCTCTAACATGAAAATATTGGATAACGTAATCATTAGTTGTTAAATCGGTGAGTCTCAGACATATATCCTACTTTGCATTTAATGCTTTCATATAAAGAATAATTATGTAGTTCCACACAAGTCACACTTTCAGCATAATAACTCGAACCGGATTCTTATCCAAGTCCGCGTTGTTTTCATCCATTGTAATATAGACCACGACCACTTACTCAAAATTTTATTTCAGACAACAGTATTCACTCGCGTCTCAGTAATATTGGAAGAGACACAAACTAACCATCTTAGTCACAAACCATCGTTCGTAGCTAAATCTCTTAGTTTATGCCTAAATTATCAGGATATTTGCTATTTTTTCCAACTTATAGACAAATCAGTAATGGTCTTGTAATATTTCAAATATTTTTTTCTGCAGGCCAACCTAAAGTTGCCAACTGGTGGGTAGACGGGACCCTGCGTCTCAGCGACATGAAGTTCTACTGGCCCGATGGAGTGGAGATAAAATCTTCTAAACTATTTTACTCAACAAATGAACCTTTTGCCCGACTAGAGTCGAGTAACAACTACTTGCTCAGTGACACTGCTGGTAGTGGCATCTTCAACTACATCTGCCAGCATCACAAGTGAAGAGATGATGGAGAGAAATAAAGTTCGAGTTTATCACAAGCAAAAATTTATTGATTCAAGTTAGGTCTAAATTTACAGTTAGGTTGACACTGTAACTCTCAAATCTAACCATAATTCCGATCTTAACAATAAAACTTACATATATCAGTTTGTTTTTCTTCATACTCCGGCAGACATGGAACAGTGAATGAAATGTAAACTTTTATCGGATTTGGATTAAACGCCTTCATAATATTAATACCCAAATTAAACGTTATCATAATATTAATACCAAAATTTAAGTAATAGGATTGCTAGGCTGACTGTTTCGTCCATCAGAATAACTCGACATAGCGACGAAATCAAAGCCAAGTATCATTAGCCATTAGAACTCAATGTGCATTGAGTCGGGGAGATTTGGAAAGCAATAAATGACAACCAAGCCCTGATTTAAAGCATTAAGGGAGAAAATTAGTTCATAACTTTCATACGAGTGAATTCATCTGTTTTTTTCATTGATATATAAGAAAAATATGCGTTGCCATATATATGGCGGACCTTGTATAACAGCGAGAAACGGCGACTATGAAGAAAGAAAACCGCAGGCAGCGGGATGCGCGGGAGCGCAGCCGTGCACCACCAATTTTGTGCACCAATAAGCCCTGAATCGAACGCCTTGGATCTCTCCGGATATCCACCAATCACAGGTGCACCACTCGGCTTTGTCCTCCTCCGGCCTTGACCACCACCTGCCGTGCACCACCAGGCCGCGGATCGAATCTGACTTCCGGGCATCGTTAAATTACATAATTTTACGTTCACCGCATCTGGGGTTAGGTTTCAGATAGCATAGTTCTGTTCCAAAATTTATAGTCCTTCGACAAGTGGCCGTTCGACCGAGGGCTGGTTCGACCCACGGCCTAGATACGGACGGCTTGAAGTGTTGAAGGCTACGTTCCGGAAGGCAGGAATCATGATGGTCCA